TTGGAGTTGGGCTTTAAAGTTGCCTTTTAAAGTTCCATTTGTAAACTGTTTTCTAAAGCGTATCCTCCATTTGTCATGTTGGTTGACCAAACTCCCCAGAATCCTTTTGCTCCATTCGCTAATTGTGATAATTATCTCTGCATGGAAGGAGATGTCTTGCTTCTAATGGTCGCCAATTATTTCACAAGCTACTGTGTATGTGCGACAGAAATCCGTAGTACCTACAAAAGAAACACGAACCCGCTGGGTCTGTTCCTCCTCATTGTGTGAGATCTAAAATCAGTGTTTATCTTCCATGAGAAAGTGAGATCTGTGATGGCCCTCGTTGCCTTTTTTTTAAATTTTTTTATTACATCTCTTTTTATTTTACATGTTTCTGAGACTTTCAGAACTATGACTCATTTTCTATTAACTGCCCGATCTATCATAAATAAACAACTCTGATTAATGGGTCTCTGAACATTTCATAGTTCTGGTCTAAAGGATGGTTGCTTGAAGCAGCAAGCGGGAAGAATTAGTCGTGTGAAATTGTAGCAGAATGTCCAAGCCAAGATTCTGGTGTTTTCAGGCCCAAAACCAGAACCAAAAGAGGCCACTGTCAGAATAAAATGCTTTATACCCAACATTAACTCTGCCTATATCTATACACTATATTACCAAAAGTATTGGGACGCCGGCCGTTACACGCACATGAGCTTTAATGGCATCCCAGTCTTAGTTTGACCATTCTTCCAGAAGCGCATTTGTGAGGTCAGGTACTGATGTTGGAGGAGAAGGCCGGGCTCGCAGTCTCCGCTCTAATTCATCCGAAAGGTGTTCTATCGGGTTGGGGTCAGGATTCTGTGCAGGCCAGTCAAGTTCCTCCACCCCAAACTCCCCCATCCATGTCTTTATGGACCTTGCTTTGTGCACTGGTGCGCAGTCATGTTGGAACAGGAAGGGGCCGTCCCCAAACTCCTCCCACAAAGTTGGGAGCATGAAATTGTCCAAAATGTCTTGGTGTGCTGACGCCTTAAGAGTTCCCTTCACTGGAACTAAGGGGCCAAGCCCAACCCCCGAAATATAATCCCCCCTCCACCAAACTTTGCACTTTCAGTAAAATGTGCGCTCGTGGCACCCCTGTGAGACAGAAGACTGACCTAGACTACATTCCAGATGTTGGGACACAAACTTTGATCTTGGGAGCACAGTTGCCAGTGTGATTTCTCCTTTTTAATTATGGAGTTTGACATAAACCCCTCTCCAACTTTGTTGGTCTGAATTATTTTGTAGATCGGAGGCAGCGCGTCTACAACTGCCTGATGGGGAATCCGCCTCTGAACGTGACCCTACTGGTAATTCATGGGTTAAACCTGTAATCTAATAGAGCTTATCGGAGACATACTGACAACTGCATTAGAAATAGACCTAAACAGGAAATATATTATTACAATGAGACTAGGAAGTGGGAAAAGATCTACTTTACGGTCATAACTGGTGCCCGCAAATAAAGATCAATTACTATCTGCAGCTTCTTATTAATGGCTTATTCTCAGGGCATGCATGTACATGTGTATGCAGAGCGCTTTCTCTTTTTTTTCTTTTTACCTCTCGCGCTCTCTCTCCCTCGCTCTCTCTCTCTCTCGCTCTCTCCCACGCTCTCTCTCTCTCCCGCTCTCCCTCTCTCCCGCTCTCTCCCTCGCTCTCTCTCTCTCCCGCTCTCGTTCTCTCTCTTGCTCTCTTTTACTTGTTTTACTTGTTTTCTCATTAGTGATATTGTATTAGTTTGCTGGGACAGAACTGGCGCTTTCTTTATAAATTCAGTTTGCTGCCTGAGAGCTTCCTCGAAGAATTTGCAACATTGTAAAACCTGTGACATTATTAATTGTAAAACGAATTCTTAAGCACCAATAGGGAGAAAGCAAACTATTACCAAATCTTACCGTAGATTCCTTAACCACTTGAAGGCCGGAGTGTTAAAGGAGAACTATGGGGTTAAGGCTTTTCCCCATAGTTCTCCTCAGGGTAACGGGAGGACACAAACTAGCGTCACCCTAGGCTCAGTATATAGAGAGCTGTAGCTCGCGGTATACTGAGACGCCGCAGCTGAAGCGGATCCCGACAATTGTGCCGGGATATTCCTGTCCTAGCCATTCTTCAGTATTCAGCGCTGAGGTACTTTGACAGTTATTCAGTCATAGAACGCCGTACCGAAATTAATTTTATATCATTTGGGTTTTATTTTGGGACACGGCTCTCTGCAGGGACAGGATCGAGAAGTGAGCGAGCGACGGTATGTGTTCGCTCACTTCCCGATCTATTGAGCTGACGTGTGACATTTTCATTCTCACAGGTCGGCTAGAACTATGAGGATGAGTGATTTTCACTCACCTCATAGTTCTCCTTTAACTTTGCTATCACATAGGGGGAGAACAAGCCCTCTATGTGATAGCACAGATACTGTGGCAGATCCTCTTTATAGGCATCAGAGGTCTCTTTTTCCTTGCAGGGTCCTATGGAGTCACCCTTGTGTGTGCTAATGCCACCTATGGACCCCAAAGAAGCTGTTGAAGCAGATATCTACTTCACCAGCTTCTTCTCCAGCTACAGCAGCCAGAGAAAGGACAAGCTGAAACTGGAAGTGATATAATAAACATTGTTTCCACTTTCAGTGATAGAAAGGGAAGTGTGGAACTGTGCTGATCTCTGATCCAGCCACAGAGACCCGTTGAACAGGGGAGCCCAGGATAGCCAGCAGCGCACACTTCCTGCACTCCTCCCTCACCCTTCCCGCACTCCTCCCTCACCCTTCCCACACTCCTCCCTCACCCTTCCCACACTCCTCCCTCACTCTTCCCACACTCCTCCCTCACCCTTCCCACACTCCTCCCTCACCCTTCCTACTCCTCCCTCACCCTTCCTACTCCTCCCCCACCCTTCCACCACTCCACACTCCTCCCTTTACGCTTCCCGCACTCCTCCTTCACCCTTCCCGCACTCCTCCTTCACCCTTCCCGCACTCCTCCCTCACCCTTCCCGCACTCCTCCCTCATCCTTCCCGCACTCCTCCCTCACCCTTTCCGCACTCCTCCCTCACCCTTCCCGCACTATACAAGTGATTAGGCAGCTCCATAGCTTTATTAGACCCCTAATGTCATCTAGGGACCCCAAAAAAGCTGATGAAGCAGAGATATACTTCACTAACTTTCTTCTCTGGCTGCAGCAGCCGGAGGAATGGCAGACTGAATCCCGCCCCCTTCCCCCCCTCCTCCCTCCCCCTTCCCACACTCCTCCCTCACCCTTCCTACTCCTCCCTCACCCTTCCTACTCCTCCCCCACCCTTCCACCACTCCACACTCCTCCCTTTACGCTTCCCGCACTCCTCCTTCACCCTTCCCGCACTCCTCCTTCACCCTTCCCGCACTCCTCCCTCACCCTTCCCGCACTCCTCCCTCATCCTTCCCGCACTCCTCCCTCACCCTTTCCGCACTCCTCCCTCACCCTTCCCGCACTATACAAGTGATTAGGCAGCTCCATAGCTTTATTAGACCCCTAATGTCATCTAGGGACCCCAAAAAAGCTGATGAAGCAGAGATATACTTCACTAACTTTCTTCTCTGGCTGCAGCAGCCGGAGGAATGGCAGACTGAATCTGGAAGCCATGTAATGCACGTCACTTCCGCTTTTAGTTATTGGAGGGGAGATCAGCCAGTGGAAGTGTGTCAAGGTACACAGACCCACCGTGGCAGTTCCGGGCTTGCAAGGGGCCAGCAGAGCCCGGAATAGCTAACAGAAGTGACGAAGGGGTAGGTGCACACTTCCCCAGCACTGTACAAGCGATTGGGCGGCCCTGAAGCCACCCGAACGCTTATATGAGTCAGACGTCGCCAGCTGTTTAAGGTGTCCAAACTTTCTAAGGAAAAAGGAAAGGACGTTTCAATATATATCTGTTACACATTGCTCAGACCGTGCTGTGAAAAGAACCAAAAATGTTGCTGAAGCATGCAAGCTTTCTCGAGCCTGACAAAGACCACAGGATGTGTGCGAACGCTTCCTTTGCCTGATTGCATATTTGTTCAAGAAAGTTCAAACCGGGGCAATCAAGGCTCCCCCTGGCCTGGGGGCGAGAGGTCCAGAGCCCCCACCTACACACAGCCATGCATTGGGGGGTGTCCCACTCATGGGGTCTCTCTAATCTGAAAACGATGCGTTCCTCAATCTCTAATGATGTCAAACAGCCATTTTGCTCCTAGTAGGCAGAGACCATGTGATCTTTGGCTCGGTTGTAATCGGCATGATGGGTAATGACGTGAGTTGTGCTCGGTGTGTGGTCTTTGCAATGACAGGTGCACTTTAATGAACTCTCTCTCTTTGTTTTTTTCAGTGTGTAGGAGAACCTGGGACAACATCACGTGCTGGCCGTCCGCGTCCGTCGGAGAAGTTGTCGTGCTGCAATGTCCGGAATACTTTTTCTTCTTCGGCACCACCAATGGTGAGCGAGTTCTTATCATCTTGACTGTTGTCTATGATGCTACCCGGGTCATGGGTTTGTTGGCCAATAAAGGGGGTTCTGATTGGATAGGGATTCACCTGTAAAGTCAGATAGAGTCCGCCTCATTGGCTGGCCAGTGTCATCTAGCCCTCTCCTTCTCAGCCTGACTGTCCCTGGGCCCACCCCTTTCATTCAGTTAGTTCTGTCAATCATAAAGACTCAGCATCACATGTGGGGGGTTACCTAGGGTGGTCTGCATGCTTTTAAAAACCTGCCCGCTCCTCCCGACTGGCACCCATCCATCAAGGCATTTTTGATATTTGCATAACTCCTCCCAAAAGCACTGCTTGCATCACGGCTGGGGGCTCCTGAGAGTAGATCTGAGGCAGGGTGCTGTGATGTTTTCAGGAAGCTATGTGTAGATGTCCACTAAAACACTTGATGGTAAAGAAATCAATGTATACATATGGAGAGGGACAAAAAAAGAGAGCAGGGAGTGTTCCGTAGTCCAGCAGGGGGAAGTGGGTGTGGCTTCCCTTATGATGCGCCACTCTGGCTTCACTCAATTTAAAGTGAGTCAATAGGTTATTCCGCTATTTGCAATGCTGATTAGCTTGCAATGAATGCTGCTCCTTGTAGTTTCCTGTAGAATCAGCTGCTCCCCTGACCACTGATCCTGATATCCTCTTTTAGCGGGGCTCTTTTCCCTTGCAGGGTCCTATGGAGTCACCCTTGTGTGTGCTAGTAACCTGTGTGTGTGTGTCTCCACTAACACACAGACACAGCAAGGCAAAGCCACTCCCATCTCCAAGCTAGTAGGTGAACAGCTGCTGGAGGCGTCTCTCCCTTGTGATCTCATACTGGACAGGAAGTTCAGGGAAGCTGAGCTGTGAGATGTTTGGAAACATGATAAGACAGAAAAACGTAACGAAATACTGTGCTGATCGATGTCTATTTGTCTGATCTGATTTATTATTAAGAAAAAGTTTCAGAGTTTGATACGACTTCAGATTTATTCCCAAAGAGGAAGATATGAGAATGCTGCGGAGGGAGAACATCGACCCTGGTCATGGGGGAGTGGGGATCTCTACACTGAAAATCAAAGTCACATTGATCTGGACTTCTCATCTCCTCCTTATTCTTCTTTTTTCTCTTCTCATCCTCTTCTCTTCTCATCCTCTTCCCTCCTTCCTCTTCTCTTCCTCTTCTCTTCCTCTTCTCTTCCTCTTCCTCTTCTCATCCTCTTCCTCTTCTCATCCTTTTCTCATCCTCTTCTCATCCTCTTCTCTCCTCTACCTCTTCTCTTCCTCTTCTCTTCCTCTTCTCTTCCTCTTCTCATCCTCTTTTCATCCTCTTCTCATCTTCTCTTCCTCTTCTCATCCTCTTCCTCTTCTCATCCTCTTCCTCTTCTCTTCTCATCCTCTTCCTCTTCCTCTTCTCATCCTCTTCTCATCCTCTTCTCTCCTCTACCTCTTCTCTTCCTCTTCTCATCCTCTTCTCATCCTCTTCTCTTCCTCTTCTCATCCTCTTCTCATCCTCTTCCTCTTCTCATCCTCTTCTCTTCCTCTTCTCATCCTCTTCCTCTTCTCTCCTCTTCCTCTTCTCATCCTCTTCCTCTTCTCTTCCTCTTCTCATCCTCTTCCTCTTTTCTCCTCATCCTCTTCTCATCCTCTTCTAATCATCTTCCTCTTCTCTCCTCTTCCTCTTCTCTCCTCTCCTCTACCTCTTCTCTCCTCTACCTCTTCTCATCCTCTTCCTCTTCTCATCCTCTTCTCTTTCCTCTTCTCTTTCCTCTTCTCTTTCCTCTTCTCTTTCCTCTTCTCTTTCCTCTTCTCTTTCCTCTTCTCTTTCCTCTTCTCCTTCCTCATCTCTTTCCTCTTCTCTTTCCTCTTCTTTTTCCTCTTCTCTTCTCCTCTCTTCTCCCCGGAGATCACCGGCAATGTCTCACACATGAAGTAATTTGCTTTGAAAGAATAACTGACTCCGCAGCTAAACCGTTTCCATCGCAGTGTCACACAAGGCCGCCCCGGCGCTGTGACCCTTGTTTGTGGAAAGTTCCGTGTTTGCGGATCTGTTCGGCTCGGCTGCGCTCTCAGCGATTTCCATTTGCAGACACGTCACACCATGAAAACCTCTTTCTATCATCTTTCATTAATGGAGAATAGTAAAGCTGAGTGATATGTGGCGTAGAGTGTTGTGCGGCTCGGTTGAGTGAAAGTCTAAACTGCTCTCCCACCAACAGCTCTGCCCTCTGCACAGTCCATGTGCGGGCGGCGGTGATGAGGTCACTGCTGCTTTTACAAGATAATATCTGTGTTTGCAAAGGCATTGGCTGCCCAAATATTTTCAGTTGGTGAAAGGTCTGGACTGCAGCAGACCAGTTAAGCACCGGGACTCTTCTACTATCAAGCCATGCTATTGTCATAGATGCAGTATGTGGTTTAGCATTGTCCGGCTGAAATATGTGGGGCCTTTCCTGAACAAGATGTTGCGCGATGGGAGCATATGCTGCTCTAAAACCCGGATATATCTTTCAGCATTGATGGTACCTTTCCAGATGTGCCGGCTGACCATTCCATACACACTAATGCACCACCATACCATCGGAGATGCAGGCTTTTAAACTGAGCACTGATAACAAGCCGGAAGATCCCTCTCCTCTTTAGTCCGGAGGATGCGGCGCCCATGGTTGCCAAAAAGAATGTTAGATTTCGATTTGTCTGACCACAGAACAGTTTTTCACTTTGTGACAGAACATTTTAAATGAGCTTTGGCCCGGAGAAGACGGCGGCGTTTCCAGATCATGTTCACATTATTATTATACAGGATTTATATAGCGCCAACAGTTTGCGCAGCGCTTTACAATATTACAATCACAATACAATTCCAGACAAGATGGTAAGGAGGGCCCTGCCCCTGAGGGCTTACAATCTAAAAGGGAGGGGCAAGTGATACACGAGGAGGTAGCTGCGTGATGTGGCGTCGTCTTTGCACGATGGAGCTTTAACTTTAATATTTGGATCGCACAGCGCACTGGGTTCACAGACAGCGATCCCTCCGCAATGTCCTCTGCAGCTTTCAGTTATGCGTTGAGCTTGATGGGCTCCGGATTAGGAGGACACAGCCAATCACAGTGATCACATGATCAGGGAATCCATGAGATGCCATCAGTGTTGCCATTTTTTAATTGGTCGGCAGGAAGGGTTTAAAAAAACAGCATCAACCAATATATTTTGTTTTATCAAAGTGGAGATCGCTTTAGTTTTATTTTTCATGTTAACTGCAGTGATAAGTAATGTGTCATTGTAACACTTTTAGGTATTTACTACCTATCACAGAGCTCACAATACTACCCCTGACCATGGCTTCATCTGCTTTTTTCTCCAGAAGGCAGAACCGTCTTTGTTCAGGCATCATCCAGGCTCACCATCTACTTCCAGGACTGAGATGCCGGCTCAAAGAGGACACAATCATGTAAATCCTGGTGACCTGTGCAGTTCTTGGCTGTGTTCACATATGTCTGACACAGTGGCGTCACAAGGGGGGTGCAGCCCGCACCCAGGTGCCACCATTGGAGTGGCGACCCCAAAAGGACTGACAGTTATTTTGGTGTCACCCCCTATGAAAAGTCGGGCACTCGGTCACGGACCGAGAGCCCGATAGTGTCAGGAGATAGGAAGGAACCCGGACGGCACACCTCATCTCACCGGGTGAACGTCCCCTCTTTTCTCTGCCTGCGTCCATCACCAAGATGGCCGCCGGTAGGCATCAATAAGACGACCGCGCATGCGCGATTATGTCACAGAAGGGTGTCACCCAGTCTCCGCTCCGGTTGTCACCCAGCCTTGGCACGCCCTTGGTCTGACACAGATCAGCCCCTGCTGTAGCCTCTCACCTTGTGACTTGTTACAGTGTTGCAGCCTGTTCAGTGGGGGAGGGGAGACTGAGGAAATGACTTCAGAAACTGTATAACTGTTTGGGGAGTTTTAAGTCCTTTTCTAGTCAAAAACATTTAACATGCATGGAAAAAAATGACAAAAATTGCTCCGGCACCCCGAAGCGGTTAAAGTCGATTTAAATTTCGAGTCTTAAACTATTTTGTAACATCGTTTAGGTCGTAAATTCGGCATTCATGTGTCGTCTCTTTCAAAAAAATCTCCCACCAGTTATTGAAAATCCATTTGGCCCGCCGACGCCAAAAGTGACAAAGTGGCGCTAATCCCTTTCCGTGAGCGATACGTGAATTTATGATGTTGGAAAATGCTGAGCGGTGAAAGCTGGCAAGTGAGCGAGTCCCAGCAAGACTGTAAACGCCGCGTCCGTGTAATCCACCCGAGCTCTTCGTAGAGGTCAGCGGAGGAGAATTGCGCACAGGCTCCAAATGGTTATAAATATTGAGTGTCATTCGGTTCTCGGCGTTTCCGTATCGCTGGAACTCGCCCGGCGCTTCTGCCAAGCGGTTATCATCATCCTCCTAATGGGCTGTGTTGGAATTCTTCATATGGCCTGAAAAGCTTTGAACTCTCTGGGGCCGATCTTTAAAAGCTTGCAGGCGGATAATAATTTCACATGCCATTGCCGTGTCTCGGAGTCCATCATCTGGGTCAGCTCGTACTACGCAACCTCAACCGCGGGGAGGGTTTACATCCTCCAAACTGTGTATGTTGCATCTCTTCAGGAACGCCACGTATCAGGAGTACCACTCCCAACATCTCATAACAGTCGCTAGTAGTGGTTGGTCACATTCACCTGGACTTGTCCTGTCATGTTGCGGACCTTTTGTAGCTTCTCCAAGTCACTTCTTCCATTCCAATAAGTGCCACCAGTTTCAGGGTATACACCCCAAAATAACTGCCAACATTTCTCATGTATCCAGGTCATGGTGTAGCTTGTAGTAGTAGTTAGTCACATTCACCTGGACTTGTCCTGTCATGTTGAAGACCTTTCGTAGCTTCTCCAAGTCACTTCTTCCATTCCATTAATTGCCACCAGTTTCAGGG